TGATTATACTTTGGTTATAGTTGTCTTTCGTTTAAAATTTTATTTTATAAGCACCTTAAAATTCACGGCTAACATACAAAATCAAGTACATTCATCAGTCCTAGTTTATTTCAGAACTCTTCTTGATTATACTTTGGTTATAGTTGTCTTTCGTTTAAAATTTTATTTTATAAGCACCTTAAAATTCACGGCTAACATACAAAATCAAGTACATTCATCAGTCCTAGTTTATTTCAGAACTCTTCTTGATTATACTTTGGTTATAGTTGTCTTTCGTTTAAAATTTTATTTCAAGTAGATTCATCGAAATGACACGAGTAAAGGAATATTAATACATTAAATATTCTGATTATGCCCTCACAAGTTATGGACACTGATAATCTTAATAATACCAAATATCAAATTTTTTATTTAAGTATTAATTAGAATGATATATAAAATAATGATAACTGTGGTCATATTATTCCTTCTCCTTTTGGTTTTTGAAAAATATCACAGATCTGTAAATGTATGCACCAGATAATTACTCGATACAATTACATTAGTTATGTCATGGAACAGAAACTATACTTATTTGTAGTGATAACTAATTAATATTTAGACAAATCATTACTGTCCTTCACATTTTTTGTAACTTTGTTTTGTAGTTCCAATTTATTTTTCAGCTTTGTACCAAGAATACAGAATCGCCATAATCTATGTGGCAGGTACTCCTAACTTCTCAGATTTTTTACTTGCAGGAGTTAGAGACATGCACTTACTTAAATAAATAACCTTTGTTTCAGCTTAATATTGTAAAATGTGTATTATATAATCCAGGCACGTATTAATATAATTACTTTTAAAGAGATTTTTGGTTTACCACTCCATGTTTGGGAGCTGGAGCTTTATATATTGGGACTCAAGTGTTTAAAATAATATTTCTGCTGAAGAACAGTAGTAATGTCACATAATTTTTTTTTTAATAAAGTAATTATCTCTGTTTGAAGGGAATATAGTAAGATAAGGCTTAGGTAACATTATTATCTCCTTGTATTAATAACAATAGTTTTTTGTTTAAATGCAGAGATGGTCATTCAAAGCCTTGTTGTTTATTAGTAATCAGTTTTTATTCTAATTATTTTTTGTTAAAATCATATTTTGTTTCAGAGAGAAATTTTTGTCTCACCGACAAATTCACAGTTTCTTCCACTTGCATAGTGCATGTGGGTATACTACTTTTTGCAGCCCTGTTATGTACCATGACTAATGACATTATACACCCTAACTTTTCTCTCCATTTCTTATATCTTCAAAAGCTATTGGAATTTCAGATTTTTGGAGAATTTTTTTATATATGAACTTACTAGTGGAGCTTGCTTCAAACTGTTTAAATCACTTGCTTATTTAAAATATGAAGCATTTAATAACTCTTAATCTTCTATTATTACAAATTTTGTAATGCAGTTTTTCTTTCTTTAATAGTGGTTTTCTCCATGCACATGTTTCTTATCTTGATGATAATTGTCCAGCTTGCCTCTTGCTCCTCACAGTGGACAAAAACTTGTTTTTTACACTACAGGAATGTCGTCGGAAGATTGTTGAGGTAAACGTATATATGAACAGAAAGTGAATGCACTGGTTTTGCATAAAGAGATAGGTACTTGGATAGCTAGGTAGATAGATATAGATAAATTTTTCATATAAACTTAATTCTAAGTTTCACCTGCTTATTTAGCTTTCATAGAAAAAAATGGAATTCATAATACGTTTCCAAACTTAAAAATTCAATTTTCATTAAACAATGATTTATTGTACACAGTTTTAAAAATGAGACTCTTCCCAGTCTCAAAAATATCTTGAAATAATAAATAACTTACTGTACAGGATAAAAGAAAAACCCTGATGAGACTGGAAGTACTCTGATACACTTTTCATGCTTCAATGTGTTTACTGAGTCATTTTCAGGGGTGCAATATTGTGCAAGAATCAGACTTATTTATACCCTTACAAATATTGAGATAATCAAATATAAAAAAATCAAATTTAAAATATTGAATAAAAATGATGGAAATGTTGTGAACAGATGGTGTCAAATTTTTTAACATATAAATTGTATTATGGTGATTTTTTGTAAGGATATAAATAAGTCTGATACTTGCACAACATTGCATTCCTGAAGATGATGATGCAGTAAACATGTCGAAGCATGTTGAGTGTATGAGACTGTTTCCAATCTCGTCAGGGTTTTTTATTTTATCCTGTACAGTACATTATTTAATATTTTGTGGTATTTTTGAGACTGAAAACAGTCTCATTTTTAGAACCATTGTTTATTGAAAATTGAATTTTTAACTTTGAGCAGTTACACGGGCACCAATGAATCTGAATATGTTTCCAAGTTTTAAACAATTTTAAATTGTCAACTTCTGAAAAATTATGAACTGTTTATAAATTTATGGTAACATGATTATCAATACTCTTAAAGGAAATTATTTTGTTGTTGTATTAACTGTAGTTTTATTTGATATTTTTATTAGAAAAAATGGTTTGCGTAGATCAAGATAATAAACCAATAAAAATTAGTAAAATAACTGCACATTGACTGTATGCCCTTTACAACAACACATATGATAATTCTTCCAAGTGTCTAATTTCTTCAGTTTCAAGCAAATGATACAAGTTTACATATTGATGAAAGATTTGGGAACTAACATTTAAGAAAAGCATGACACAAATATACAGGGTTTCCAAAAATTATGTGATGTGTTACAAACTTCAACCATGAAAAGGCAGCAAAAGTTACAAACTTACGGTTTGTGTTGGATTAAGAGCACATGTATATAGTTTTTTTACCATAATAATAATAATAAGTGTAATCACGCATAATGCGTGCACAGTCAACAAATATGTCATTAACAAATGTAGTGACAGAGGAGGCTATGTGCATTCTGTGGCTAGCAGAGATGAAATCAGCCCTATTCTAGTGCAGAGATGATATTACTATAGTATATCGACAAAGGTCCACCAGTTAATAATTCTATCAAGAAGTGGTTACTGACAGTTTCAAGAGTCGGGGAGAGTATGTGACACAAGAAAGGAGCTATGATGAACCAATCCCTTAGTCGTCACTGTTGCCATACATCGCTCCTCTGCAGTTATGTGAAGGTGAGCGATATGAAGACACTATGTGAACAAATCACCGATGCAGTAGGTACTGTGATGTCCGATATGCTGATGGAAATCGAATATTGATTTGTTATCTTGAGGGCCACAAATGAAGGAAGCACATGTAGAGGTGTACTGATGGCAAATGATGTGTGGCAAAAGACTTCATACACATGCCCTTCTTCCACCACAAACTTAAGTTCATGACTGTTAATGTGGTTTAAGTTTGTAACATGCTACGTAATTTTTGGACACTGTATTTAAGTAAGTCTAATTAAATGTTTGTATATGGTATACAAAATTAAATAATGGGTTGAACAATTGCCAATTTTATTTTTAATTTAAAGAAGGATGACTTGGTGATTGTTCAACCTTTTTATTTTTTATTTATTTTTTAATGTCCATGTGGTTTTAACTATATTTGTCTCTGTATGTGATATATACTCAAGGATTGATGAGAACCATTACTTGGGCAATCTTTCATTTTATACCCTTCTCCTTCAACATCTCATCATTTTATGATGTATATAATAATTATTATTTTTATGTATTCTCTTGAGGAATACATACCATTACTTTCAGGTTGGATATTCTGTTTTCAAGGCAATAAGTTTATAACTTTTGTAAAAAGAAGTTTTATTATAATTTTGTGTTATTCTGTGTACAATTTAAAGCTAATTTCATTATACGTATAGGATGTTCTGTTCCTTTTGTCAAGCTGTCTCCTTCCTTGACATTGCTGATACACATTTTGGGGGCTAACAGTTGTTCCCACTTTCTTCCTTTATTTTGGTTTGTTATATGCAAGTACTTTTAGGAGGTTTCCTTTGACCTCATTAGTTGAATGTTCTTTTTAATGATTTGGAGCTCCATTTTGTAGTCTTTAGTCATTACAATTTTCTTTGATTTCATCAGATTCTTATGCTTTTATGACGGTAGTTTTGTTCAACTCAGCTAATTGCTAGCATTTTTTTTTTCATTCTGAGACTTTATTCTAAGGTTGACATTTTCTACAAATCTTCCTTTTTGACAGGTCTGTTTATTATTACATCATCTCTTGTTCCTAGGAGGATCACATGCAGTTTCATTAGGGTTCCCCAGTGGGTCATTGGTAAATTGACAGACTTAAAATATTAAAATCTGGGGTTTGATTCCCTGTGATGGACAAGGTACAAGTAGCTTATTTTGTAGCTTTGCAGTAAAACAAGCAAACAAAAGCTTCATAAGGCCTATCTTCAGGAAATGTATTGTGAATCCTTTCTTTGGCCAGATTCATCTTCACAACTATTCTTACGACATGTCCTCTTGTCAGCATACATACTTTCTTGGAGGCTTTGAATTTCCAGTTTTAGTACCTCTGTGGTTAATTCTTCTTTTTCTTTGATTCTTCTTGTCTTTGTTCCTCCTGTCTGCCTCTTTATGCTTTTATGTTCTTGAAACTCCACACTGTACCCTTCCCTCAAGGTTGCCTTTTCAGCCTGTAGCCATTCTTTCTTTTACTCTTTTATTCCAATCAAGTCATTAAAGAAATTTAATTTTTCTCTACACTTGCGAGTTCCTTCCACTACCTGTTTTGGGTTCTACTTGTGCCTTTCAGTATGTCAATTACCTATTTCTCTTTGTCATGTGGTTCTGTTTTTCTTTTTTGTCTCACTTAAAGGTCTTCTGTTGCATGATTTTGTTTGTGGTTTATGCATTGTTGCAGATCTTCTCAACATTGGCTTTCTTTTTTTAGTTCTCATCTAAATAACTTTTTACAATTAATAACTTTAATTTTGGAAGGAGCACATTTATAGTTGTTTCTGTACTGGGCCTGTAATACTGATTCTCTACCGTTTCTTTAAACCTTTATTTGGAATAATTTTTATGATGTATTTTCTTGTTAGTATGTTGTATCTGTTGTCAGCCTGAGAATTACAATATTCATTCAGCCCATTCAGTTTTATAATAGTAGCCTCATTTTGCTTATTGTTGCCTAGTTTTTAAGATACAATATCTACCATGATCTTGGTTGTGGCTGCCTAAGCAGGTATGTGGAACTTTAAATAATTTCTGCCTATACCATCTCACTGTATTTCCCGCTTTTGTGATCTAAGTTGTCTTTTTATATTTCCTGGAGGTTTCTCACTTATTTATAGGTTTCATTATATTTCTGGTTGCTAATTTTGATTTGGAATCTCTGATAAATCTGCTGCTTAATAGGGATAGATTTTCACCATGGCCTCCACAGTGTAGCTTTCTATGCGACATCAGTAGCAGGGTTTCTTCTGGCATTTCACTTTTTTTTTTGCTATCACTTTTGCCTAATGAATTTTTTAAGCACAAATTTTTAAGTTAATTTTTATGTCATTTCTAACTTTTTAATTTTTAGAATCGGTATTTTTGTAACACTTAGTGTAATTCATGAGAGAAAATGGGAAAAAAATTTCAGTTTTGATTTCTGAACAGTCTTGCCTGTAAACAATGCAATTATCGCTTGTTTTAATTTTTTTTCTCCCCACCCCAAAGACTAGCTTCAAATTTGCAGTCATTGCTTGAGAACATATTATCCATTTCTTTATTTCCAAGCATTTCACTTGTCTTAGTTTTTGTATACCCTTATACCCTTTAGTTGCCATGTTTGTATGATGTCATAGGAAGTGGTTTGATCATTTACTAATTAAACACAACTTTGGAAACAAGTGAAAAAAAAAAGTTTAGATATGATTGGATAGAGTACGAATTGGACATCTCATGCCATTGTAGATTATTTAAATTAGTTTGAGCAATATTTTATGATTTCATGGGAAAGTTGATAGTTGGAGCTCTTGTATCGTCAACTAAAGGCATATAGTGGGAAATTTTGAAGACTTGGGAACAAACTAGAGAATTGGGAATTGTTTTTGTAGTTTCTTTAGAGTGAAGTTGTGAAAGTGTTTGTAATGGCAAAATATTCTGATGACTCAAATCCTTATTTATTCAATATTGTTTTTAGGTTTATCATATTCAAATGATATGTGTAAATAAATTGGCTAACTGGCTCCTTATATTTTAAATAATGACATTATTACCATTACCAGTGACAGGAAGATTTACTTGATTTACACAAGATGAATGATGGATGTGCTACTGTACATTTTAAAAACAAATAAAATGCCAATTACATAGTTATTTCAACATTAGTGATTTGACAAATAGGAAATATTAAAATTATCTTTAAACAATCTGCACCAAAATTTTTTTGGGTGTGTGCAAAATGTTGAAATGCCAACCACCACTGGAAACATTGGGTAGTCATGTTTGAAGCATGAATATCTTTGTTATAGGGCCAACTGGTTGTATAAAAAGAGCTTTCTCTAGGTATGTATTTACTTGAAAACCCCTTGTATTATTCTAAAAAGATTAACTTGTTTTGGTCTTTATGCATCCTCCCCTGCTTCTCACCTGTTTCTTCTTCAGGGATTTATTGGTCCCTTTGGGTTCATAAGTAGTCTGAGGCATTTATCATTGGACTGAATGTACATGTACCTGGGCTAATCTATATGTATAAAGACGAAATGTTTGTTTGTTTGCACCCAAACTCCTCAGAGCCTAGTGGGCCAGTCTCAATCAAAATTTGTATGTAAACACTATGAAATATGGGGAATGTCCTAAAGGGGTCAAAATTCAACTTAACCATATTTTTATTTTGTAAAGCCTGTTGATGAATTACTGCCAGCCTATTGAGTCAATCTCAAACAATCTTGACAGGTTGATGCTTTAGATAATGTTGAATATTCTAAAGGGATTCAAGATCAAAGTATTAAAGTTGCTGGAATGTTTCTCAAACAACCATGCTTTTCTCGTGGTCAATGAGATATAGGGTGTTCAAGGGTGAGATCACCTCAAAATCTTTATTTTTGGTAGATGGAAAGCAAACTGTAAATGTTATTTATGAAGAAGCTTTGTTATAATTTTTAAAATTTTGAGATAAAGTTTATGTTCAAGTTATTACTTTGAAATATATCGTTTCTTTTAAACTTGCATTGTTTCAATTAAGTTTAAGAATTACTTGTCAGTTGATGGGTATTTCAGCTTGTCTTGAATATACGCCTTAGTCCTTAGAAGACTATGGTTATACTGTACAGTGTCTTTCAAGTTTTCCGCTTTTCACCTGGCCAGCATATTTTATAAGTTATGTTTCTTATGGAAACATTCTTTCCATGTTTTGCTATTTCAGTAAGGTGACATTCCAAGATGCAGTTGATTAAAGGTACTATGTGTTTTTTTATTACCTTTAATAGAGACTGCATCGTTATAACTGTTTAGAAGCCATAAATGCATCTCTAGAGTCTGAGGGCTACTCTGTAAGTGAAGTAGGACTTCCTGATCTTCGTCACTTTATTTACAAGTCAAAGTCTGCTGCCCAGTTTACTGAGCCTCGCTTAGAAGCTCCATATGTGAGTAACGAGGATCAAAGTAACCTCTTTGGACTGTACCAGTACCTGCACCATCGCATGTATAATTCTGCCAGACCTCTTAAGATCCTGTTCTATGTGGGCCAGAAAGAGATCATGTTAAGCTGGGTGAGTATGACTTATTTTGTGGTATACTAGTAACTATATTTGGTTTTATTTAAGAGTGCTAATTCAAGTCATAGTAAAATAAATAAATAATAGAGTGCTAAGAAATGTTTACTCTAATTCTGATTTGCAGTGAAATAAATAAATAAAGTTGATGAAAATCACCTTGGCACAAATGTTGTTAAAGCAGTTTGCTAATATAAACAGCTTGAAGAGCCCTGGTATTGGGTGAAAAAGGCCATGTTAGGACTGGATACAGCAGATATAGTTTATTTGACACGTACTCTCTTCTTTACTTTCACTTAAAATTTTTAGTTATAATTTCTTTTAGTTTGCTATAATTCAAGTTTATTTTTAAACTTAATATACTCAATCTAGTTGATACTAGTTCAGGTTTTACACAAGTCTTAAGGCAGTCATAGTTTATTAACTTCCACTAAAGTATTTGTTTCAGGACAGTTTAACCAGAACATAAGAGAATGAGTGAAGGCTAGATTATCTTGCACGTTATAAGAATGATTTGCACATGCTAATAATGATGTGTTGTTACAGATGCAACATTTTAACATCTAGATACTTAGGTCAGGGTTAATGCACTACTCATCGACTTGCACATGATGCCACAGTTAGTCTAATGTAAGGAGATATATAATTTTTTTTTGTATAGTGAGATTCTCAAATGAGGTAGATGTGGACTTTGGTGCTTTAACATAGTATAGAAAGTCTCATTAATGTACACCAGTTTGGAAAGTTTATCAAGATATGTGGTCAAACACACACCTTGCTGCTCCTTTGCAGAAGCTTGTTATAATGGAAATTGGAGTGTCTGGAAATAGTTTATAATCATTGCCATCATCATAAATAAAATTAATGCTGACGGAAGTAGTTTCAATGTCAGTATTATTATTTTAGTTGGGATTAAGGATTATTAGAGTAGTTGCTGCATCAATAGACAACCCCAGCAAGGCACAAGATCAGATGTATAGTTATATTACTGAATTACAAGTTGAAAATATACATATGTGAATGTGTTTCAGTTGCTTTTGTAAATGCATTATGTGTGTGTGTGTGTGTGTGTGTGTGCTGTTTTTCTGGTAAATTTTATAAACAAAATATTTTAAAAAAATGTAAAAATAGTGCCTTATTTATTTCTGACTGGAAAAGTGGTTTTAAATTTATAGTTTGCATACAAGATATTTTATTTCTAAACATATCATTACTTTTATTTGCTGTACAGGAAAGTACAAGATATTTTACTTTTAGTTAACTTCTTATTTTACATCCAATGATAGAGATATATGCTAGAGTTTACTTACATACCCTTGAGAATACTTGGGTGCTCAGCAATCTTTTACTAAGTGTATTTTATTTGTGCAACTGACTCTGTGACCAGAAAATTGTTACATTTTTATGGTACATTACCTAGTAAGTTCAGATAGATACACTTGCTTAAACTATACTTTTTCTTGAGAAGAATATGTATGTACAATGATAGTTTAAAAGTGACAAACTTGCACCAGTCAAGATTTCTTTGGGAAGTACCTAAACTTGTTTATAAATCTTAATTAAGAATAAGGAAGCCATTGTTAGAGTTGTCCATTACATAAAATATGGAGATTCCAGAATATGCTTCACAACATGCAAGCTTCAAGGAACCAGCTTTTTTCAGGTTGGTTGGGGACCGTAAGGGATCACAAAAATATCAAACTCAATCAAGTTATTCTAATATATACTGATAGCTTAGGAATTCCACATCAGAAAGGAAACTGTGGATACTTTCAACAAACATTAAAGTAAATTATTCTTTATTTCTTTACTAAGTTGGTTGTTATTCTTGATTCAGTTTGCTTTGTCAAATCACATTCTTCACAGTTCAGCAGCCATGAATTTCTATATGATTTAAAAGAGTAATGTGTGTGCATACATGTGAAGCTTTTTAAAATTTCATTAAATTAGGAATAGGAACTAATGGATGATGCACCATATGTGTAAGGGAAGGGTGGGTGTAGATAGTACTATGCATTACAAAGCAAAATTATTTGGGCACTGGCTCTGTCATTCCTCAGAGCTGCATCTCATTCAGCAGTGTTATTGTGGGTGAATTTTTACATTTGTTTATCAACACTTAAGATTAATAGTATCAGGGACCTGCAAGCAACATCACTAAGTTTTAATAATTGCCCCCATGTCCCAGATTTTGAATATGTTGCTAGATCTGGTGGATCGGTTTGTCATTTTTAACCAGAGCATTTAGTCCAAAGTGTCCTTTGTGCTAGAGATTTTGCAGGTATCACGTGTTGTGGAATAGGTTAAACCTTGCAGTAATTGAGACATCCTGCATGGCCATCAGATCTGTTCAGAACTCTATGTGCCTAATCTCATACATGAGTATTCTAGACAAGTCATGTAACTGTTTTAATTATCTTATATACAGAGCACTGCCTTTAAGTTTTATAAACTTTATGCATTCAAATACAAAATATCATGACCAAAAAAAGTTTCGTGCATGATGTAAGTTTTTCTCCTCTTCATTAATAACTTGTTCTCTCATACTACAGCATGCACAGTAATAACCAACATCTGTAAGCCATGAATGAAAGGAAGATTTATCAATTTTATGTTGCTTTATTACATATTGCAACTGCTATCATTGCACCAATGCAACCAAAGTTCTATTATGTACATTTCTTTATATCAGATAAAACCAGTCCTTTCTCAGATATGCTGCTCAAAAATCCAAAATTTCTAGTGTGCACAACTTTTATACCAACAGCCAGAGGTGGAGAATAAGTTTATCAAAAACTATAGCCCTTATTTCATGTTGTTAGTGTTGTTCTACCTGTATACCATTTTGGAGTTGTTGTTTCAGATTTAATCTATTGGAAATCATTTGATAAAGGTATCAAAATCCTACTGTGGGTTTAATATGTAGGTATCATGCCAATGCACTTGTGTACTCATCGCCAATACCAGGTCCTCTCCTTATACCAGTAGAAACAGAGTCCAGTAGCTTACTTTGCCCTTGTAATATCAATAGCCTGCTAATTTCTACTGTAATTTTGTGCTTGTTTAAGCTTGTCAAACTATTTTTGACTTTTTCCGCATGGTCCTGTATCATTTGGATTTGCTGCTTTTGGTTGACAACTTGAGCTCTATGCTTCACAAATTGAATAATTTAGATTTCTTTCATGAGAGTTGTATAAAACTTTGACAATGGATTACCTATTTTCAGTGCTTTATTTCATATATTTCTTCAATCAACTTGTAGAAAAAAACTAAACACAAAGTTAGATCAGAATATTTATTGGAGTCAAGCTTGTAAGCAAGGCTATAAGATATATCGCAGGACACACACTGCTTGTCAATGGTATCACTCCAATGCTTACTATAATCAGATTATTCCTCAGTCTTGTCATCTACTGTGTATTGTACCATATCATTGTAAAGGTATTCAGTTACCTTATCCATTGTTCTTTTCAGAACAATGTCATTGTTAATTAGATTATTTACACATTTCAAAAGCTTCTTCTCCTATCAATACATTTCTACCATTTGGCTGTATTTACCATAAAGCTCATACATCCATTCTGGTATCATGGTTCGAGTCAGTGCAGAAAAAGGAACCTTCATTCCATCCATAACATATTCATAAAAAATTTACCGCATCATCCATAGCATAAGTTTTGAATGCCTATCAAGAATGATTTATCTCAATATCCACACTTTGACCCTTACAAATAAATTTGTGAAGATAGTGAAATCAAGAAACCTTTCAGATTTTGTCAAATTTTGGAACTCGTGCAACGTCATTCTTCCACAAAGAAGAGCACAACCCCATTCTTATTCCATCAATGTTTTGTACCTTATGAAACAAAACCTCTGGACTTGATGATATACTTTACCTTATGAACCATTTCTTCCTATATCAGCCTGATCAGTTTTCAAGGGGATGTGGGAGAAAAAGTGCAAGTACAGTCTTTAAATTGTTCACTGTTTTACAAGCTCAGCCTAGCTCTTTCACTACAACATTTCTTCTCAACTCTTTAGTTAGTTTTTTCTTTGCTTGACACTTTTGTCACTGTGGTCATAATCAAATTTTGAACATGTAAAGCAGGGTGCAACAAGGAACCGTGATTAAACCTAGGACAGTAAAATATGGTGATGCTAATGTAAATATGTCAATTTTAGAAGTTCTAAAATTTTCCAGAAAAGTCCAAAAAGTTGCATATCTTTGGAAATTTTTCACAAGAATTAAGGCTGAGCCAGTGAGGAAAAAGTGTCACAACAACTTGCTTGTTTAGGACCTGGCAGCTGAAATGTAGCACTTTTACTGACAGTGTTGGTGTAATTTAATATTAAATGGCAGAATTTCATTTCAGCTGCTCAAGTAGTGTAAGAAATTTTAATTGTAGGTAATTGCTTCTTACATGCATTCAGGGTTTTAAAAAAAAAAGGTTAATTCACTGCGTATTGTTTATAGTATTAAGCTCCCCCCCTTCCTCCAAGTTAAAAAAAAATCAAAGGCAAACTTACACAGGAAGAAAAAGGATGCTGTTTTTTTTTCTTAAACTTAGAACATTTGTAGAAATTAGTCTATGTTAATGAGACAACTGACAAGTAGAAAATTTAATCTGTTCATCACTCTGGTTTCTAACAATGTCTGATAACATCTGTTATAACAACAAAATTTGACTTGTACATAAGCAATGTACAAGCAAACATATGTAGCAGTTGCAACTTAACTAAATGTACATCCACAGAAACCAGTTCATGACACATTAAGTATTATGAGTTAATGATGTATATATATAGCATGATTTCTCTAACTGAGAATGCCTTTGAATTTTAGGTAATTGCTATTTTCGGATCCTCAAGTTGAACATCAAACATGCTCAGTTGGTAGTGATTACAATTGCAGACTTCGTGTTTCTACTTATTAATTTCCGATCAGCGCAAGTTATGTATGAAGAGTGAAACTAAAAATAAACCTGGCAATAGATTATTACTATCATTATGAAGCTAAGAAGTTAGAAACTAATGGTAATACGTTATTTTTTTTTTTTTTTTAGATAAAGTAAAAACAAATTTTCAACACACTTACCTTAACACAGTATTTCATTTCATAACCTTATTTTAATTGATTGTAAAAAAAGTACTTGATCTGATTAGTTTTCATTATCTATATACAGCTAAAAAAGCTAGATATTTTATTTTGAATGCTGGATTCCCTCTTTGGCATGTTGTTCTCTATGACTGTATTTTTAAGTTTTGACTTGATATAATATGTAATTTAATTTTTAAGAAGGAAGATTTAAAACCTGTTTTGAATGAAATACTATCAAAGGAAAATAAATTAAGGTATTTTTATAATAATGAAAAGATTTAATATTCTAAGCATTCGATTGGTGTTTTGATGTGGATTGATCTATAGATACAGGTATTATTTATTTATGGGGTGTCAGTCTCACAAGAGAGTTATAATAAGTTGTGAAAAACCATGCATGGCCCTTGCTGGTTCATTTAGGAAATACCAGTCTGTATAGGGTAGCTGTTGTTGGCTTGCTTGTACTAGTTGGTTCATTATATTAAAAAAAAAAAAACCTCTATTTCAGCACATGGCAGGGTTTGAACTATATGCTGCTTTTGAACCTATGGTGACCAAGTTTACAGCAGTCAACACTATGAACAAATTAGTAAGGTGGATTAAGAAAGAGGAAGATCGTTTATTTATTATGAATGCTCCAACAATTTAATCTTGAGATATTGAAGATGTAAGCTCTGTATGTAGAACTATTATACATGTTCATTTGGTGAAGCACTAAGATTATTATTTAACACCAATTATCAGAAAGCTTACTTAGAATATGTATAATTTGAGAATCACAATGGAATTGAGGTCCTTCCTTTCTTTACATACATTTCAAAAACATTAGCCACACGAGACAAATTTCTGTTTAAAGCTTACACAGAATGGGACCAAAAATGTGGTTTACATACCATGCTCAACCCTGGTCAGGTTTTCATGGGTCTAAACAACAAAAACAGTAGTTATAATAACAAAAATATCGGGTTATAGCATATAACAGTACATTTTTTATGCATTACTCTGGTATACAAAAAAAATTGTAGTATTTGAATTAACAATTATGTTGTGTCCAACTTCAAAAGGAGTAGAATTGACTTGTCAACTCTTGAAAATAAATACAACTTCGGGTAGTTTTTGGGAGGATTTATTTTTCCTGAACACAAAAAATCCTTATAAGAACAAGATATACCTGTTATAATTACTTTGTGAAAACAAACACTAGTTCAGTTAAATATTTTTGTTTTCTTCCACATGAGAAGCTGCTCAAAGTGTTTATTCCTTTGTATCTATCTAAAAATGTACACATGTAAAAGATTACATTTCAATTTCCCTTTCTTTTTTGCAGAAAACATAAGGTCAAATGAGTTACATTTTTGTACCCGATTATTTAAAGAAGAGCCTTGTATTATTTAGTAAGTTCTAAATCATGATACACAATATTATAATTAACCTTCAAAAGCTGCCAGCAATAAATGTGTAGAAGGTTTAAATCTAGATTAATAAAACAAGTCGGATACCCTACTCAAAATGTGTAAAAATAAAAAAAATAAAGTTTATGGATCCAAATTGACTAAGAAATGAATTTTTTTTTTGATAAACATCTCATAAATATAACTGCAATACCAAAACCAGATATGATACAAATCACATTGTTCTCTCTTATCAACCATGAAGCATAATTTTTATAACTTATATGTTATTAGTGTTGATAACAAAAACATAGCATAAGAATTAGTCATAAACCAAATGCATCACAGGAACCTGGCAAGAAGTAATTAACTTTAAAAATTTAACCTTTTACTTAGAACGTTATATATATAACTTATGCATTGTACCATGAATAATGTTAAATTTTATTCTTAATCTATAGTACATCTTCAGGACTGATTTCTCCATCTTTTCAACATGTGACATTGAAAAACTTTCTAAACAAAATGTTATAAAAATGCCTCTTTTTTTCATGTACATACAAACTTCTCTTATTTCAGATGTAGCATTAAAAAACAGTAACATAACCTAATGTACACATGTATAAGTAGTTTTTAATTACTTGATAATGGAAAACTATAACATTAAATTTACATCATGCTTCCAAAAGTCAGTTGAGTTAATTACAAATGCACATTTGGGGTGGATTCCTTTAGAATCATGCTAACAAGAATGGTTAATTTTTTTATTAGTGTTCAGGAATAAGTCTTTTTCATTGAAATTTAAAGTATATCAAAGTAATCTTTACTGTCAAAGATCTACTTCCTACATTTTGTGTATCAAAATATATATTTTACTGATATTATTTTCAGCTCTCAAAAACTAACTTAAAAGCCAATTTTATTTTGCTCTCATATAAAAATTTATTAGCAATATTATATAGTTTACTTTGTTAGTGTGACAATTTTATAACAAGTTTTAGTATCATATAATTCAAATATCTTGCTTACTAAAAAGACAAACAACTGATCTTGATTTTAACCAAAAATCTTAAGCAAAAAAAAAACACATCAAAATTCAAGTATTTTTTGATTCATAGTGATTGAACTACACACCAAAGCTTGAAATTAACTTCTACAACTAAGAAAATTTGGCAACAGTTATAAATTATAGACTTTAAATTACTGATCACATGTAGTAACTGGTCAGTTATCTTTAATATGCTTGAGACTTAAATGGCTAGTAAAGTTAATTTTTTAGTAGAAATACCAGTTCACAGAAATACTCCTGTTGTCGAGCTGAGAGTTTAACAAAGTTTTCAGGATAGTCTTAACAAACATTGAAAACTTCAACAAATAAGTAGGAGGAATGCCCAGCTAACTTGTAAAATTGATTTAGAGAAAAATTTCCAAATTTAGTTATTCGACAGAAAGAATATAATATAGTAACTCTGTTTAACTTTAAATTTTATTTAATAGTATACAACTTTTCAAATACTAATCATAGTGTAACTTTCAGCTTGAAAACAGAATGAAATATGTATACACACACACAAGAACTTTGATTAATATATGAACAAACACCTTACTCTATTTTTCATTTGTTTAACTATTATACAATACATGGGGATAAGCTCCAATTAACCTAATAAACACTACACCAGTACCATTTACAAGAATTTTAGATAGAAGCAAGACTATTTATACTAGTTATTTGCCAGTCTGTGACAAGAATGCTATAAAGACACAAATTTCAAAGACTTGAAGATACTATGCAATGTGGTCAAAATATAAAAATAGTATCAAAAGCTTATGAATGTCATTTCTTCAAAAGGTGACCAAACCTCTTGTTTTTTTGAACAGCTTTTTTAATTTTTTCATATTCTCTGAACAATAGAAAGTATTATGAATGACACTGAATACCACAATTTAAATGATGTTAGGAACACAATGAAAACAATAATTCTTTGACAGTAAAACAGTAATGAAATTAATATTTAGCATATTGTGAAAGTAATGATATTTTTCACTTGATGATACAATTAATTTGGATCTAAACTGACTGTAAAAAACAAAAAAAAGTCTATATACTGAAAGTTGCCAAAATTCACGTTTCCATGCTGCATGACCTAAGATAATTTTTCTCCTTTTATTTTCTCCTTGCAAAATGTTTTAGTAGTTGTAACACATCCAAAGCTTGATTATCAATACTTTTCCTCAGAATATGTCTGAAATTAGTGATAATTTTTCCTCTACATCAAAAAGGAGCAATAGAAAAGTCTAGATATTTTATTGTCTTTAAAGTCAATAAAAGAGAATACTAGAAACAAACTATGCTAAATAATGAGAAACTCTGACACAGAAACAGATGCGTCACTGTATAACATAAAATGTAAGAAGATCTGGCACTTCCAACTGATGCTGTAGTTCAGTATCATCCAAAGTTATGGGCAAAGCACAATGTTTTAAGTAAGCATTAAGGAGGAACATAAGGTGGAGGCTGCCTGTAGGTTGGTGCTGTCTTTGGTCGGGTATTTTTACTGTCTCTGTTTGTGGTAAAGGGAGGTGGTGGGTGATACAGTGGGGAAGAGCTTGAATCAGGACTAGGTTCTGAGTTTTTAGGAAGAAGAGGAATGTGTTGAGCAGCTTCCTCTGCAGTCTTCCCATTCTCTGGACTGGACAGAGGTGGCTTCTCTTCTTTCATTATGGAAGGTGATTTGGCAGGTTTTGGTTTTTCATCAAGTTCATCTGCAAAAATAATGGGTACACCTTTGTTCATAAAAGAACTACTATCTTCCATTTTCATCTTTCCTTTACGTCTCCGACGGTACAAAAAGCAAGCAACCATAACTGCAATAATAAGCATGATTACTATGACAACAGCAGGGATAACAGTAGTGATATAAATATCATCATCTGGTACTGCTGGCTCTTCAAGGGGTTGTTCAGGTTTTGCAGAGATAGGAGTAAAAACACCTATACATGCACCTTGTGGATCAACATTAACCTGATCAATTTTGAATTCTGGGCCCATTTTCTGAATAAATCTTTCCGAGACTGTTTTGTTTAACACAAGCATGTGATTAATAAGCTCACTTATTGTGTCTTCTGGGCAGTGCTCTGATGGAAGAGTATTGTTAGTCCATGTGTATACAACTGAGCCATTGGTAATAGATAATATTTGTAAGTATTGAGGATTAGGATCACCAAAAACACTCGCTAGTTTATGAGCAACAAGTATCTTTTTACTCATATCTTGGTTTATCTCCCCAAAGTCTGTATCAATATGTACACTAAATTCTACACTGTTTTCCATGTGGGGTGGTGATTCTACAGTAACAACAAAAACATCACTGACCTCTTTTCCTTCTCCATCAATTGCAATAAGCTGATACTCATGACTTCCAATGTTTTCTTCAAAAGGAAGACCAAATATTACCTGTGAATCTGAGTTAAACTGAATCCAGGATGATTGTGCAAGTTCTTTGTTGTCAGATGTTAGAAGTAACAGTTGTAGATTAATAGTGTTGCCATCCTCAATATCATAAAAAGTATTTTCTGGAATTGTAAACTGAAGTATTTCTCCCACTTTGATTTTAACAGTGTCAACTGGATTTTGTAATCTTGGTGAAAAATTGGTGTCTGTGGGACTTGGTGATACATCACATATTCCATGGAAGTTGACATCTATCTTCTGTATGTTGAATTCTGGCTTCATTGTTTTTCTCAGAAGCTTTGATGGACGATCTCTATCATTAGCAACAAGCTTCCTCATTAATATACCAATAGCTTCCTGTGGACAAGGGTAATTTGGAAGCGAGAAGTTTGTCCAACTTAGAGATGGAGGTTCTTGGGTCACTGACTGGACAGAGATATGAGTGGTATCTTCATCACCAAACACTTTTGCAAGTTTTTTAACTACTTCTATTTCCCAGTCAATGTTAATAAGATACCTCCATTTCTCATATTTTAGAGTCATTATGAATTCATGATGGAGACCTAATTGTGATGGATCTTCCAACACTTGAATCTGGAATTGGTCAAATGTAGACATCCCATGGCTGTCCATGGCTTCCAAAATAAAATCATACTTGCCAATGTTTTGTGCAAAAGGGAGGGCATACAGTTTCTGTCTTTCAGGATCAAACTGAATCCACAGTGATGGTGAAACTGCCATTCTTTTTACTGTCATGAATATTAACTTTAGATTCCTTGTGCTACCATCTTCATAATCTGAGAAAGTATCTTCAGGTACCTCCCAACTCCATACTTGACCAGTATAGAGCTGTAACTTTTTAATGTGATTTTGAACTGTTGGCTTGTAGTTAATAGGTATTATTGGTTTTTTAGTTGGCTTTTCTGGTATGTACGTCTTAGTGGGTTGGATGAAAGATGATTCAGCTACTGACGAAAGAACAATTCTTTCTGTTGGCAATGAAGATTCTGTATCTGACATTACTGGAGATGAGAGAAGGGTATCTACAGGAGTCATTTCTTCCAGTTGGCTTCTACTTGGCTGCAACTCTTCTATGACAGAGGGAGAGAAATAAACAGTTGGTCTTTCTGGTTGAAAAACAGGTGTCATCATTGGAGAGTACAATTTAGTTGTGGGTAAATGATGATAGTAATACGTTGGAGATGGTGACACCTGACCACCACCTCTATAATTTCTTTGTCCTGCCTCACCAAAGTCTTCACCATGGTGGTGTCTATGTCGATGAGATGGTAACATAAAAGATGGAGATGCCATTGTAGGAATCACTCGTGATTCTGGAATTTCTGTTTCCTCCGATGGCTCGTCTGGGCCGTCAATTTCTGAGAAGGTTGGCCATTTGGTAGGAAGTGGCGCTTCTGGGACAGGAGTTCCTCTCAAATTCACTTCCCTCCTCTCCCGGTGGACCACAAGTGGCTGTTGGCTAACTACATTCCAACCAATTACTGAATAGCCTAGCAGAGTTCCTAAAGATCCATTTGCAGCTAACCATTCTAGATCTGAAATTTTGCTTTTGTGGGATGGGCTAATAAGACCAAAACATCCAACCTGCCATTGAAAGGCTACTCCTGCTTTTTGTCTACTTTTCACAGTTCCTGGTCCTGCCAACAAGGCTGATTCATCAAAAACCTTCCATTCTTTTGTAAGAGGAGAGATTTTTATAAAATCACCCAATATTCCAGCAAGTGAAGCAAGCTTAGAAATAACATCTACACGTTGTGTAGAAGTTAGGTCGTTGAAGGTAGAATCAACAAACACAGATGCAACAGTGATGGACTCACCCTTGGGACAGTGGAAAAATTCTGTACCAAGGTGGGCTGATGAGAAGTGAGGCAACTCTGGTACTACTTCAATGGAGAATATATCCTTCCCAACAGAAGGGTGCCCTAAAGATACAAGATATATATATATATATACTTCTCATCATGTTGTAACTTCTACCACAGCAAAATAATGCAAAATTCAAAAATTTTTTCAAAATAGTTTCCTACTTACTCTAAGTAGATTTCTAGAAAAATAAAATATGTTGGAAAGTAAGGAAATTTCGAAAAGACTCACACTGACACAAATGCTCAAGTAACAAGAGAAATGATGTGGAAACAATTACCCATATAAAGATCATGCTTAATAAGCACTAAAGAATTTTAAATTAGATATGTTCTTTAATATGCAAATTATATTAAATACCATTCCCCAATTTCAATCAATCTCTTCACACACAATTGTAAATTTTAAACTTGAGATACTTTACTGAATCCAAAACTTGGTTATACCATGATAAAATGAATAAATTGATACATAAATATTACATCTTTTGAGCTAATAATTTATCTCAACGTTTTCACTGAGAAAAAGCTAAAGATATCATTTTCAGTTATGTGTATTGTCATACTACAATATTTTGTAAGGAAAAAAGGACTGCAAGTTTCCGTGTTATTATTTTTTTTTTACACATTTATAACTCGTGCAGTTTTCCACTCAGGTCGAAACCTATCACCTCCCTACAGGCTTTTGAGTTTTATTAAAGCATAGACATGGTTGAGAAATATTTTGTTTTTATAGATCTGTTTGGCACTTCTATACTTTTACCCTATCAAAATTATATACCTACCTTCTGTATAATTGTAAATTTTTTGCAACTTCTGATAAAAAATAAATCAGTTTTAGTAAGACTAAGAAATGATATATATAATTACAAAACTCATCATTAGAAACCTAATTTTAAAATTCTGTGGTAAAATTTTTCATCTATCAAAGATAACATTCCTTTAATAGAACATCTTAGAGTTATATTTGTATTCTGCACACACACACACCTTTTACATATAGACACAATGTTACTTTTTTTACATGATGGCTTGAATGATTTTTGACTAAGTCTACTATTCAAGGCAGTTTTTTTTTACTTTCAGTTGCAATTTACTGTGCAAATGCATACTTCAGGACAAATTATGTATGCAAATTAAAACCTTTATCTCTCTATCTGCACACACAGGGTAGGGCAAAGTTACTATACAGTTGGTATAGTTTATACTAAAGAAAACATTACTAAGACAACTGAAAATAATTTAATATTTTTTTCTTTCCAAGTAGGATGTTAGAAATTAAACTATGTTCTAAATGAAACAACTGTATAGTAATTTTTGCCCCACCCTAAATATAAGAAGTAAGTGGGTGGGCATGGTTAGAGAAGACCTTTTGTCACTAAGCATTTTTTTCAATGAAACTTGAACACCCACTATACAAAAATCCATAACAAGCTCACACATTGTTCTATTTCATTTGTGGTAAAAAACAACCTACTTTTACCTCTCTCTTTTTTTTGCATTACTGATAGTGTTCAAAGTAATTTTTCTTCAAAACAGAAAAATTAAACAAACTTAAAACCTGTTGTATCTAAGTAGAACAATAAACAGGTGCCAATTGGCATAGCTTAGACTTAAAAAGAGTTCTACCTAATCATATTCTTTGACTTGGATACTAAGACATGATATCTTAGTTGCATCTGCCTGATAAGTAGTCATAGATGTACATCTTGTTTGATCTTAATTTTCACTTCACAAAAACATTCACTTCTAACCTACAGAAGTTGATAGTGAGAAATGCTATTTAATAGATTTTATTATTTATTTAATGTGAGTTTAACATGTTTTACATTACATTCATGTATGTTGGATAAAAAAATATGAAAATAAAAGTTCCAGAGTTAACTATGAAGACAGACAACTTCAAAGTTTTCTTTTTGTGATTAGCTAAGCTGTACACAAAAAAATAAATCACATTATACATATTGTTCCTCAGAAAAGGCTAAACTTCTTCAAAACTTTAATACTAACTTTTATGCAGTGTTCTATAAAAATCATTTGTTACATTAATGAGGGATAATAGGGAATTTGATACAATCGAGAGTAATTTCTCAAATGCCAAATTATCCATTAAAATAAATTAACACAAAGTACCTCACCATTTATGTCTGGTGGCCCAAAAGCCTTTACACTGATGTAATACTGGCCCTGGTCATTAGATGTAGGAACCCCAAGAAATGTGTGCTCAGTCTGGTCAAATTTTAACCACTTTGGAAGTGTTGATTCACCAGCTTCAAGCACCTGGATATAAGGAAATAAAGTTGTTAATTAAAAAAAAATATATATCCATTGAACCTGTAGCAGTACATGTTGCCAATTGATTGTTTTGTTATATTTTGTAAAAACATTCCTTACTCTCTCTTTGATGAAGTAGAGTAACTAATGGTAATGTAGCAAGCAGCGTATATTATTTTGATTGAAAATTAACACTTATATTTGTATTATAAGTTGAAATAATGATATACAATGGAAATGGAAGCATTACAACTTACGACTCTTTGGTGTGAAATGTGAGAAATCAGCCTTCCCAGTACAAACAGTGTTGCAATAATTAATAAGAGCTAGGATAAACGAAATGCGCTTAATTTACAAGATACAATAGAGGGAACAATTATCAATACCACCCACCGCCAGTTCTTGGACTACCTTTATCAAAAAGTAGGATTAATTTTCTCGTTGTAATGGCCTCACGGCTTAGGGACGAGCATGTTTGGTGATATTCGAATTCACGATCTCTAGATTGCAAGTCGAGAATCCTAAACACAAAATGTCAGATTGTTGCCAGTTGAATTTATTTATTTTTATCTCAAACACCAAATATTTTCCCCCCTTTTTTTTAACTACAATTAATTTGTTTAAACAAATATGCAAGGAGCGGGGTGTAAAACCTTATTTTAATATTTAACTTGTAAGGGTTAATGAATTTGTTGATCCTAGCATTTTATTTTGATGCATCTACAGTTACTGGAATAGCCAAGTGTTTTTGTGTCTTTATATCTTCCATAAATAATTTCACTTAAAACAAATCCAGTATAATTTCCGTAGTACACTACTTCTACATTTCAGTAGTATTAGTAACAACAAGTTTGAAATTCATATTAATAAATATTATGATTCAGATAAAGTTTAGTGAATATAGTTATTTTGCAACAAAATATAACTAATTGCCTATAACGCTGCCATCTCGTATTGATTATTTTAACTATCTTACTACTTTTTAAAGAAACTTTAGGTTCTATGTTTTGGGGTTTTAACTCAAAGTGACAGTAGCTTTGTAATAAACAAATTCTTAATAAAACATTACAAGTTGAACATAACATAAAACTACACTATAAATCTTAATATTAATGCATAATCATCATTATACAGACATTATAATGGGAAACAAAACACACACAGACAATGTCACTGCTATTCTACCCTACAGAATATTTTCTTTAAGATCACATTGTTTTTAAAACTATAATAATGCTTTTGGCTACACACACAATTAGTTTCAACCAAACAAACAACAACAAAAATCAAATGCCTACAAAATACAATTGCCTGTATGAAACTTCACTAAACTTCACAATTAGGTCGAAAAAGTCTTCGATAGAATTCCATTTTTCTTGACCTAAGTAGTCAGCCACAAGATACTTTCATTTAAAAACGCAAGTCAGTTATCAACAGAATATTAATTGATGTTGACGAGCAACTTATGTTTAAGTTCAATGGGTAACGTCATGTTTACGGAATGAATATATTATCAAATAATTAAGACCAATTCTGCATGGGAATGCTCCACAATGTAGAATGAGTTTTATATTTCATGACATTCTTAGTTAACGATTTCTGCAGAGGGATTATAAATATTTTAGTCTAATAATTATTTTAACATGCGTAATACATTTATATATAATTTACCCTTTCTTTCAACGGTTTCGGTTCTACCAATGAAATATTAAAACATCAAAACGAGGGAGAGGGTGAGTGGTGATGGCATATTTTTGGTTTCATAAGATGAAACATTCATCAACTCGAAAATTAGTGCTAGGGAAGTTAAACCAAATTTCACACGGTGTAATCTACAAGATCAGCTCGTGGGTGTTGATGGCCTTCGTCAGGTATGATTATTAAAGTTATGATGTTTCATGTACTTCTTGAAATTCTATCATTATATAATAATAATACAGACACTCCCAACTTTAATCATAACTTTACAAAAAAGCATTATATCCTAATAAATAAGTTAAGAAAACCTCGAATTAAACAGATGATGTTTACGAGTATCAAAATAACTTGTAATATACCGTCAGGATCTCGAACTTATAAATCACAGATACAGCGTGCCCAGGTTGTGAATTCGAAGATTCATAGTTTGCGCTCCCTTTCTGCAAAAACGCGCTAAGCACATTGGGGGGGGGGCTGCAGGTAGAATATAACATTAGTGGTCAAATCCTACTATTCGGTTGGATAATAGTAGCCCAAGAGTTGTCGGAGGGTGATACTGACTAGCTACCTTCCCCCTAGTCTATCAACTGAAAATTAGAGACGACTATGCGTATATAACCCTTTGTATAGTTTTCGCTAAAGTTGTGGAACAAATAAATGTCTTAATAGTTACCACGTCTGGAAGGTGTTAAAAGCAAACAAGTGTAAGCGTAATGTGAAGCGCTTTAAAAGAGAATCTCGTAAATGCGACTTTAATATTACAGCGTGTCCGAAAAAATCTGGAACCATGGGCACTTCAACGAATTTTAGAGAAAGTGCTCCATATGCTGTCCTTGTAATTCGAAACAAGTTTGAATTACCAGCAAGAATTAACTCGAACTTCTCATACTTTGACAGCGCCATAATCAATCACATATCTGAAACTAAGAAAAGCTATGGCTCCAGATATTTCGGACACTCCTGTACTTTGACAGTCCGTGAATGTTTATCTTTACCTTCTGCTAATTGTGATAAGGTTAGTTTAATACGAACTTATCTGCTAACGCTGGAAACATAATTTAACAACTGTTCATACTTAAATGTTCCCATTCAAAATTCAACGTTTGGAGGATGAGTTCAATAAAAAAACAGAAGGAAATGATCACGCCAGTAAATAACATTCGTCTCCCGTCAGAAGCCTGTTTTCAAATGATGAAATAATTAGTTCACTTGTTTTGAAAACACGAAGCCTTTTAAAGTACGAGAAAAACAAAACATAAAAAACGTTGTAAGACTTCTTCACTGATTTGTTTAAGCGCAAAGCTACCCAATTTTTAGTGTTATTAGCCCTCAGACTAGCCGCTAAGCCACGTAGTCATCTGTTTATAAAAAAATCTGACTTGTTATTTGAATCCCAAAATTAAAGATATGACATTAATTTGAGTTCCATTCAGTTTAATAAATGCCATGGTTAAATATACCTTCTACTAATGTGTTGTTTTATTTATTTTTATATAACACACACACATATATATATACACAATACTAGAAAAATGCATATATATAGATGATGTAGAAAATAAAACAAAACTGATAAAACAAATTAAGGTTTTTTGTAACTACTAAAACTAGAAAAAAAGGCGATATATTTTTATGTATAATTAAAATCATGGATGTTCTAAAGTTTCTTAGCATGCCCAATAATCTTGTAAAATACGCAATCTATTTGAATATTATAATGTGCAATTAGAGAATTATAGGTCCAAATCAAAATAAACTCGAAAGTAATACTCACGATACATAGTTTTTACAATATACATTAGAATACAGATAAAAAGAAACCGATACTAACGACAGACCAATAAGTTAACCAGCAATCAACTTACATATAAGTATATGAACTTCGTATATTTCTCTGTCGCAATGTGGTTGAAAACAGTTAACTATAGATACTCATAGGTCGTGAAAATCTCAACAGAAATATTTAGAATCACGTTTTCTATACAAATAACACTAGTTCTCAAAGGAAGAATACACTACTTACGATATTATTGATATATATACACATTTACTTAGAGAGTATCTCATAAAATCAAGACCATATATGTACAAAGACTTGCTAGCAGGTGAACTGGATCGTGTCGAGCATAGAAGTAAAACAGTGATACTTCAGTTTCATTAAGGGTCAATGACTTGTTATATTATGATTGAGAGTTAAAGAAAGTAAATAGCTTCATCCCTCTCCTTCTCTCTCTCTTTCAGCACCAGGTGGCTCTTGTCACATACCAAAGGCACAGAATAACCAAACTACGACACTTAACTGACAAGTGAAAAACCAGTTTGTCAGCTTGAACGTATTTTCTAAGTGTCGGGGTAAACCACCTGATACCCACCCCCCATATCCACCCCCTGCAAGCTCTGATCAATGATAGATATGTCAAATACACACTGGTCTGCAACCTCTTTCTAAACATAAAAATGGCACAAGATTAGAGAAACCACTGACATCTTTATGTTATAAATCAAACCGTTAGAAGTTTGTTGACGCTTTTGCAGCTTTAGGGCTACTTACGAGCCAACGTTTCTTCATACAGTGTTAGATGTACAGGAGTCAGTACACGTCTTTTAATTTTATTATATTTATATTACCATGTAAGTTCATGTTGTGGCATACTTAAATGTTTGTAACGAAATTTGTTTGTTTGAAGTTAAGCACAAAGCTACACGATAGGCTATCTGTGCTCTGCCCACCACGGGTATCGAAACCCGGTTTCTAGCATTGTAAGTCCGCAGACATACCGCTGTGCCACTGGGGGGCTGTAAAGAAATACTTTAATTCAAAGAACTAATACAAAATATTAGTTTCTACAGAAAATACACTGTTGTTTACCCGTATCCAATGCATTCAAATGTGAAGCCCATTGGCGCCCCCTGGCACCAATGACACTAGATCTATAGTTTTTATAATGATAAATTTACATGTAGTTTTATGAACACATCACAACCAGCTTTTACACGTAATGAAATTTATTCTATAATTCCACTTGCCTTCAGTGGCGCCTCCTAGTGAGAATCATTATTAGATGCTACTCTGCTAAGTTAAGCATATTTAACATTGTTATAATAGCTTTTAAAGTTAATATAATCGCCAAACTTTCCTTCAGACATCATGATGCATGTATAGTAACTTGCACTCAGTTAATACCGTTAAGTTAAAAACACAAAAATCGCCAAACTTTCCTTCAGACACCGTGACGCATGTATAGTAACTTGCACTCAGTTAACACTGTTAAATTTTAAAAAACCGCCAAACTTTCCTTTAGATATCA